TTTTACATTTTTTTTCCTTTTTTTGTTGTGACAACTTTTTTCAAATCAATTGTACTATTCGAGCACTTATACATTTTGAAAAGTTTATATACAAACAAAAAAGTCAAGTATAGTGTGAATATTGAGTTTATTATTTTACCTTTCACCATTATTAGTGAAAGTAACATTTTTTTAAATCTACAGAATATGAATTAGTATACCAGTGACTGTTCACACTATAGTTTGGTATAAATTATTTGTATAATTATTGAAATAATTATTCTGTTTCAAATTATATGATTCTCATTGTCAAACATTTTCTCAAACAAATATTACGTTTAAAATTAATTACACTTTTTTCCACGACGTAATATTTTTTTAAAAAATGATTCCATCAACCACAGTTGTTGGCAAATATGGTACAATTGCAGAAATTTTTCAAGACTTAAGACGCTATTATGCATCATCGGGACGAAATGAAGATTTCATAATGACCCTATATGGTACGCAAAAATTGTATCAATATTATAAAAATTGCAATATGCCAGCAAAAAATATAATTATTGTTGATAATTTATGGTGCATTTTACCAAATGTTATTTCATTGACAACAATAATGAAATATGAAATTTTAATTTTAGTTTTCTATTTCGATGACATTAAATATTATACACGAAATAATAATGCATTAAAACAAAATAATACATTGACAAAAAAATTAAATGAACGACTTATTCCACTTGAACAATTGTTAAATTTACAAAATGATAAAAATGAAATTTTTGCCTGGGAACGACAACGAAATGCCACATTTTTTTCCAAATATATTGGCATGTCAAAAGTTTGGTTAAATATTTTTGCCACTTATTCAAATGTACAGGAATTTAATATATTAGATATAACCGAAAAACATTGTTGTTCTAATGAATGGCAGTGTAGTGGTAAAATTTTAAAATTTATCAATCATATTGAAATGTGTCAATCTTATGAAAAAAAAACGTTTAAATAGCAGTATATATATAGATAAATATAAATCTCAAATCATAATATAATGGTAATGGGAACTAACAGCGAACAACAATATTTGTCGAAAATAATAATTTTTGGTTCACTATTTATTATATGCATCGTCTATTAAAATTATTTTTATTCAGTTATTCTAAAACAAGAGTCAAAAGAATATGCAATTTCCATTAAACAGAATTTAAAAAAAAAAATTTAACATTTATTTAGATCAAGAAAAATATTTATTTGAATTATACAAAGTTTAAAATAACCAAAAAGCAGTTTCATGCTAATTCGAAAATGAGAGAAACTTAACAGACGAAAACTTATCGGATTTTGTAATTTTAAAATAATATGATTGTTATGAAATAAAAATTCTCCGCAGATTTTCTCACAAAATACGTGAGCCAAATGTTTTGAACGTTCAAATGAACGAAATTTTTTTTACAACTTTTTTTAAGTATAGGGGCGATATCACTTTCCCATATTTAAACTGTACAATTGTTAATTCTCTCAGTTAAATCGTACATTTAATATTAACTTTAGTTTAAACTTAAATTTTAAAATTGAAGACCTGTTAAATTTTTCTTATAAATTAATTCTACTTTATTAGATTGTCATTTACTTAATTGTACACAGACTATAAAATACATACCTAGTGTAACGGTGTAGAAAGTACAACATTTCAGAATAAGAACTGGTATTTTTTCTCGATTTTTCCGTTTCTATCCGAGTTGAGAGAAAAATACTTTTTAAATTAAATGCACCTACGAGGAGCCAATTTTTGAAAGACAATGCGGTACACCATTAATCCCCACTCACCATTTGTCATAATTCTCGTCAACTACTGCACCCTGCTCTAGTGAAAATTTAGTAACTTTATGTCTAAAGGCGCCGTCCCATGACAGCGTGAAACGCCGGCGTAAAAGCAGAAAGCATGAGAACGAAAGAGATAAAGATATCTCATTATCTCTTTCGATCTCATGCTCTTCGCTTTACGCCGGCGTTTCACGCTGTCATGGGACGGCGCCCTAAAAAAATCATTAGGAAAATTCGAATAAATAAAAAATTCTGCAAAGTGAATTTTCAGTTATATGAAAATTTTGTAATATAGAAAAACATCGTTTTGATGTAAATTTTGAAAAATATACTAATTCGAAAAAATAAAAATTTGACTCAAAAATAATTATAACAAATGAAATTCCATGAAATGAAAATTCTAACAAAGCCAATACGTCGAACTGACAAAATGTCGAAAAGCCAAGACGTCGAACAGTCAATACATCGAACGGACAAAATATCGATAAGCCAAAATATCGAAAAATTATATTGACTCAAGTATAATTATTAGAGCTATGCAAGTTTTTAAAATTCGAACCGCTCCATAAGAATTAACATGAGCTCGAATCGAATATTCGATCCCAAAATTCGAACTTTTGCACAGCTCTAATAATTATAGTTAAGTCAATAAAATTTTTCGACATTTTGTCAGTTCGACGTATTGGCTGTTCGATGTTTTGGCTTTTCGATATTTTGTCCGTTCGACGTCTTGGCTTTTCGAGGTTATGGCTTTTCGAAATTTCGTCAGTTCGACGTATTGGCTTTTCGACATTTTACCTGTTCGACGTATTGGCTTTTTGACATTTTGTCTGTTCGACGTACTGACAGTTCGGTGAAAAGCAAGCGTCTCCCGGGAACTTTGTCGAATGAGGACAATGAAAACCAACTATCAACGTAAACCAGTGTATAAATAAACATTAGAAATGTATGGAATGAAATCGAAATTTTTGAACCTATGTATATTAGGATTTTAATTCGATTTCGTCCCATACATTTTAAATGTTTCTTTATGAACTGGCTTACGTCCATCTTAAATTTTCCCCCACTCAACTTGAACTACCTAATGCGACTAAATCTGCGCATGCGTTGGCTTACTTGGTCAAGCTTATTAAAAAAAAAGGATTAAGCCTGGCACAGGTGTGTTGGAAACATAAATTAATTAAAAATTAAAGAGAAAAGATATTGAAATTTAGAAAAATGAGGAAGATGAGTAAAAAAAAGTGAAAGAAGTGAATGAATTTTGTTATTTGGGATATTGGTTTAAATAATAATGAGAGTTAGGAGCTAAATGGAAGGAGATTTATAGGTTAGGTTAAGATTGTGATTATATTAAGAATTGTAACTTATGTATTATGGTAGTCTTATAAATTCTGCTTTATATATTATAGAAAAAATAAACAGCTAATGTAGACTTAGAATGGTTGAAGGAATGAATGAGAGAAAAGGAAAACAAAGGGTTACACATCAACATAAGAAAATACGTTAGGATAAAATCTCATTTTGCGGTTTTTTTTTGGTTTTTATTATTTTATATCCACAAACGTTACAATTTTCCAGGCATACACTATTATTAGATTCAAACATCACGTACACCATCGTTTATCATCACATTATGAAATCACTGTATACGAATCGAAAATCTTTTTCGCATTTTCTATTTAAACTCGAACTTATGTATGTTGACTGTAAATATTGGTTAAATTTTATTTTTTTTTTCATTTTTTTTATCTTTTCCTTTTTTTTTACTCTATTTACATGGATGACATGATTAACGTACTAGCGTAATCGATTTATCTGCGATACAAAATCGTTATTAATTATAATAATAATATTATCCAATATTATATTATGCATTCCTTGGAATCGATATAAAGTTTTTTTTTTCATTTTTTTTTGTTTTGTTTTTTGACTATACAGATTGTCTACCTGTTAAAAAAAATACGCGCTTACTGAAAAATATCTGCTCAAAAATTATGTATATTTAAACTCAAAATTTAATTGATAAATTTTATTGCAAATTATATGAAAATTAATGTATTTGCAAATTATGCCAATTATTATTATTATTATTATTACTAAAACAATAAATATTATTTAAGCAAATATTCTTCTAAAGTCGCATGCTTTTAAGATGTATTTTTAACTCTGGAGCCTCTATTAATGCATCATTCGTTTTTTCATCTTTTTACACTTTTTTTTCTAACGGAAATAAATAATATTTTGATTTACAAAAAAAAATTCTATATTTTCTATACTATTTTCCTTTTTTTCAACTTTTTTCTTAAAAAAAAAAAAAAAAAAAAAAAAAAAAAAAAAAAAAAAAAAAAACAATATATTGAAACTACATTTATGTGGAAAAAATTTCTTTAATAAACGAGTCGCAAGAAAAACTGTTTTAATTTTTTGTTTAAATCTTTTTTATAAAAAGTTAAATTTTTTGAATGAAAACAGGAAAAAAAATTCAACAAGTAAAAATCATTTTTCAAAAAAAATATTCAATAACATATGTGAAAAATAAACAGGAAAAAAAATAATAGAAAAATTTTAGTAACGACTCTTTTTTTTCTATCAAAGGCACTAATAAAAATTTATATTTTAAAAAAGAGACTAAATGTTACAAAATAATTTTAGAAAAAAAATATACCTATTTAGTAAAATTTTTTTTATATATATATATATATATAAAAAAAGAAATAAATAAAACAAAGTTTTGTATAGAAATTTATTTTGTAGTTTATGCGCAAAAAAAATATATATATATTTTGCAAAAATTGTATCTTATGCGGTTTTTTTTTTTTTTTTTTTAATTTTCCCCTTTTTCTTTATTCTCATCCGAAGCTCGTGTTTTCTAATTCAACAAGCAAAAAAATAAAGCCTGACATTTTTTTTTTTTTGCAAAATATTATTATGTGCCTTTGTGTGTATATGTTTGTGTGTGTACGCATGTCTGTGTGTTTATTTTTATTGTTTATATATAATATATATAATATATATGTAACATTTTTTTTATACATTTTTCAGTTGTCGCCAACCTTTATCCCCACCCGTTATATTTTTTTTTACTATATATATATATATTTATGTATATATAGAGCGTAAAAGCCTTAAGTAAAATTAAGGATCGTTATTTTAGATAATAGCAGAATATTCTGTAATATAATAATAAAAATAATAAGTAACAATATGATATTTTTTATGTATATATAATTTACAAACTGACATGTTCGCTACGTTTGGTGTACGCCGAAAATAAAATTCGTCCCGTCCTCATAATCAATTAAAAAAAAACGTAAAAAAAATTTTTTTTTGCAATTTGAAAAAAATCAAAAAAAAAAATTTGTCAAAAATTGTTCTTGTGAAAGAAAAACAAAAAAAAAAACGGGAGGAACTTTTAAAGGTTCTTTGGAAAGTTTTCTGCGTTGATAAAAATAACTTTTTTTTTTTTTGCATTTTTTTTTTTGTACGCCACGAGCGAACTTTTTTTTTTCCCTTCACACACACATTTATACTTTCATTCTTTCATTTTTTTTTCTATTTATCATACCCTCTTTCTCTATTAGGACTTAAAATATTCATGAAACTTATTAAAACTAAGCCTTATTGGGTCTTATTAATTAATTAATTGATTATTTAATTAATTAATCGTGTTCAGCACAAATAATCATAAAAATTATCAACTAAATATAGTCACTCGCTTAAAAAACTATTTGATAAATCTAATAACAATTCTTAATATTATCTAATTCATTTTTTTTTAAATCGTTATATACAAGACTGAAAATTGTGAGCAAGTTTTATTCACTATTTTTTTATTTTTTTTTAGATTTTTTTCTTTTTTTTACAGTTGACAAAAAAAAACTTCCACGATAAGAAAATATCCCAGAAAATTATAGAAAGACAAATTCTAACAATGATAAAGAACCATGAAAAATAAGTTTTTTTTTAATTTATGTAAAATTGTTTTTTTTTAAGAAATAATTATAATAATAATAATAATAATAATAATAATAATAATAATAATAATAATAATAATAATAATAATGAAAATAGTAAAAATAATATTAATAATAATAATAAGAATAGTTAAAATAAAAATAATAATAGAGTAATAATAATAACAACAACAATAGTAATAATAAAAAAATAAGAGTCTAATAAAAAAAAAACACGGTTTTTCTGGGAAATTTCTTCTCAGCGGTAAGATTTGATTGTAGACTATTTGTGCTAAATTATTTCTTTTTTTTTTATCGTGAAACAAATGGAGGCAAGCGCATTTTTTTTTATCACTGGAAAACACGACAGAAATTCGCAAAAAAAAAAAAAAAAAAACAAACAAAACAAACGCAGAATTGTGGCAGTGATGCGAGATCGAAGACGGAAAATTAAAAACAAATTTCATTTTTCTTTTTCCCGAATTTAACTTCTTTTTTATATCTTTGATCAGAAAAAAAGTTTTTTTCTTTTATTTCCATATTTAGTTGAAAGTCTTATTAAAAATCACATATCGGTTTTTTTTCACCACTTTTAATAACTTCATTTTTATTTTCATCAAAAATTAAATTAATTTACAACCCAAAAAAAAAATTAACCTTTTTTCCTTTTAATTAATTTTTTTTTTTATCTAAAATTGATAAATTTCTATTTTTTTCTCCTTTTCTTAATCAAAAAATAAATATTTATTTTTCAAAAAATTCTCCCCTGAAAAAAAAAATTTTTTTCTCAAAATTAAAAAAAAGGTGAAAAATTTTAAAATAGAAATAATTTTAAAAAAAATTCAAGGAAAAAAAATTTTGTTTTTTGTTTTTTTTTACATAGTAAAAAAATAATTTACAAATATATGTGAAGAAAATCATGTACAATTTTTGTTTTTTCATTCTTTTTCCAATGAGGAAAGAAAATTTGGAAAATTTAATTTCTTTCTTAAATTTACCCAATTAGAAAATTAAATCGAAATGTTTATAAAATATTAATTTTTCCCATAATAATTACATATTCAAAAAGTTCAGAAAAATAAATTTAATTCTTCCTCTACACCTTAACTATTATTATTACTATTATTATTATTATTATTTTTCACAGCAAATTTTATAATTGTTACTTTTTTTCTTTCAAATTTATACAAAAAATAAAATTAACATCAACCTAATTTAATAAAATTGTGCCCATATTTCAAAAAAAAAATCGTTTTTTTCTGATCAAAGTCGAAAAGAAGAAAAGAAAATTGAAAAAAAATTGCTAAACTTTAAACCCCTCTGAAATTTGCAATTAACAAAACGGAATGTCATGTCTAAAATTTTTTTTTTGACTGGCGTTCCACAAAACTGTCAAAGAAAAAGAAAATACAAAGAAAGTTCCCCTTGAGGTTTTTTTTTTTTTTTAATTTCTAAAAGAAAAAAAAAATCCAAAAACTTGTAATTCAATGTCTAATACTTACGATAATTAAATTAGTCGTAATAGTAACAACTTCTAAAATACAGAAAAAAAAATAATAAATCTACATCTATCTTATTGAAAGTGCGTCAAATGGTTTTCGCCTCATCAGGATTCTATAAGAAAAAAAAATGAAGAAAAAAATTACATCAGTTCTTATAAATTCACACTTAATTTCTAAAAAAAAAAAAAAAATAAACAATTACCTTTTTTCCACATCCAAACTAATTTGTAAGGAAAAAATATAGTTTTTTTTTTTTTTTTTAATTTTCCGAAAAAAACTCCGTCTAACGACCATTTTTTTTGCGCATCGTTTTAAAATTTCTGCATTTTTTTTTCCACTCAAAAAGTGGAATCGTTTTTTTTTCAAAAAAAAAAAAAAAAAAAAAAAAAAAAAAAATGAAAAAAAAAAAAACATCACTTTGATTTTCTTCTATTCGTCGCCAATTGAAAACAGAGACAAAAAAAATAAAATGTCCAACAAAATTCTCTGGGTTGAAGAAAAAAAAGAGATTTTTGAATTTTTGAGTTCTGGACACAACAAATAACCAAAAAGTTAAAAAGAAAATAAAACACATCACTTTTGCGCAGCAACGGTGACGACAGTTGGTTCTGTTTTTGGTTTATCGGCAGTACCAGATTTTGTTGCTTGTTGTTGTTGTTGTTGTTGTCGTTGAGATTTTGCGACTTCCTGAGTTTTGTGCCGATTGCCAAATTGTGCTGTTTGTTTGGCGAGATCGCGTTGACTCGATGAATCGCTTCGTCGTTTGGAATGGGTGAGACGACCGGAACCAAAAGAACCGGTACGATTACGATATTGAGAGGCAGTTGTTGTTGATGATGATGATGTTTCGAATCGTAATTTTGGTTGCGATGGACCCGAGGACGATGTAGACGCCTCAAGTGTAACTGTACTTGAGCCACCCGATAAACAACGAACACGACGCGTTGGTGATGTTTCATTTGCACCAGCTGATTCTGAATAACTTCGATTACGACGCTTTGATGCCTGTGATCTCGAGACTTCATTTATTTGTGGCTGCAAAAAGGGTGAATTTTTTTTTTTTTTTTTTTTACGTACACTGACAAAATTTTAAAAATATACACAAATTTTACATAGGGTCAGTTGGGGTAAATGGGGGACAAGAGGTTTTGGAGCTTAATTCACAGTTTTAAAATTAAGTTCAACGTCAATATTTTAACCTCAGATCACCTGTTTTGAGTATTGCCAAGCTTTTATCTTGATAATTGTCAGCAAGATAAAAAAAGTTATCGCTCAATGCAGAAAAACTTGAAAATCAAAGTCAAACTGTTTCAGTATTTTGTCGAGCATTTCAGTGAAAACAGAACTTAAAAATTATACCAAATTTTTTTCTTATTCCTTATGACTCCTATAACAGAAATTCACTTGAATTTTTGATGAATGAATTTTTGAGCTATCCCCAATTCACCCTGAGTTTTCAAATTTTTGGGGTAAATGGGGATAGCTTGTCATTATTAACCAAATTAACAAAAATCAAAAATTCAAATGAATTTCTGTTATCAGAGTCATAAGGAATAAGAAAAAAATTTGTGTATGATTTTTAAGTCTGTTTTTTTCAAATGCAAGACAAAATACTGAAGTAAAAAAAAAATAAAAAAATTTTAATTGGTTCAACTATTATATATCTACTACAATTTTTTCAAGTTTTTTCATCCCTTAATACAATAATATACTTAGGGAAACTTTTTTCTTAAAACTTTCTTAGAAACTGTGCTATCCCCATTTACCCCAAATTTTAGGAAATTTTCTAAATTTTGGGGTAAATGGGGACAGTCAGTTTCATGCGTTTAAAGTTTATCTAAATTTTTTTCTGTTGCATAAAATTAATCCTGGGAATGTAAATAACAACTTTTAAAAAAATAAACCCGCAAATATTGCCTTTTAAAGGAAGAAACTTATGTAATTTGTGAAAAATAGCGATTTTGTCCCCATTTACCCTAACTGACCCTATATGGGGCATTTCAATTTTTTGCTACGAAATTTTATTTCTCAAAGACCTCGGATTGACTTTAAGGCACAAAAAAAGTCGATTTATATTCCAAAAAATCGATTTTTTTATTTTAACAAAATTTAATTGGTTAATGAATTTTTTTACTTTAAATAACTAATGTAATTAGATATTAAATTCATTTTATTAATTCTGTAATGAAAATATTTCTATAATGAATATTATCAAAAAAATTTATTTCCAATTATTTCGGAATCAAATAAATTATGAGGCAAATTTTCAAAATTTTATTTAATTAGAAAAAAATTTCGAAAAAAAATTCTTAAAGTTTCATTTTTATAATTTTTTCAAGTCTGATTTAATCAATTTATTCGAATTAAAAATTTTGTCATAGTTTTTGGTTTTGATGGTCAAAATAAAAAAATTTTCAGGCAATACTTAATCAAGTTTTACAGATTTTTAAATAAAATTCTTTCTTTAAATAATAATTTTGGTAAAGTTAAAGTTGAAATTTTTAGAAATAATTGAATTTCAAAAGATTTTATTAATTTTCACAGACAATAAAAATTTACAGAACTAAAAATAATTTATTAAAATAATTGAATGGTGAATTTCGAAAAGGGCTCAACTCGAAAAAGCGTAAGTGTCATTTTCGCATAACAAATGATAGTGAAAATGACTCTCAGCCTTTTTAGAGTTGAGCCCTTTTCGAAATTCACCATTCAATTTTAGATAATATTTTTTAAAAGTAATTGAATTTTCAAAGATTTACAATTCTGATTTTTCAAATTAATTGAACTTCAAGTGATTTTTAAATTGAAATTTTTTATGACTTCACTAAAAAATTTATTAGAAATTGCAGACAAAAATACAATAATTTGAAAACTTTTTAAATTAAAAATGGTTTCAGTGATTTTTAATTTAAAACTTTTGATGAATTCCGTTACTAAAAAATTTATTAGAAATTGCAGACAAAACTACAATAATTTGAAAACTTTTTAAGTGGAAAATGGTTTCAGATCGTTGAACTTTCAAAGAATATTATAAAAATCTATAAAAATAATGGAATTTCACTTAAAATTATTAAATTTCAAAAAATTTTAGATGGAAAATTTAAGAAATAATTAAATTCTAGAAACTTTTAAATTAAAATTTTTGAAAATAATTGAATTTCAATTTCAATTGATTTTAAATTGAACTTTTTGAAAAAAATTGAATTTAGTTGAATTTCAATTGAAATTTGGGAAAATAATTTAATTTTTGGTTGATTTTAAATTGAAATTTTTTTAAATAATTGAATTTTAATTGATTTTAAATTGAAATTTTAGAAAATAATTAAATTTTAGTTGATTTTGAATTAGAATTTTTGAAAATAATTGACTTTTAGTTGATTTTAAGTTGAAATTTTTAAAAATAATTGAATTTAAATTGATTTGGAATTAAAATTTTTGAAATTAATTGAACTTTAAGTGATTTTTAAATTAAAATTTTTGGTAGTTTTATTTGTTAATTTTATTTTAAATTATAAACAATTTTTAAATTTCTTAAAAATTTTAATTGGTAAATAGTTTAAGATAATTGAATTTCTGAAGAATTTCATTAAAATTATTAAAAATAATTAATTTAGTAAAGAATTTTAGTTAAAAATTTGTTAAACAATTGAAATAAAGAAGATCTGAAGATCTGAATTGTATGCTAAAAAAACGTATTTTGTTTAAATTTTTTTTTTTAAAAATGTAAAAAAGTCTAAAAAGTCGCATTTTATTAAAATAAGTCGAAAAACGGCTTATTTTTGAAAAAAAAGTCGGAAAAAGTCGTATAATCCGAGGCCTGACTTTTTATTTATTTCTTTTGTCCGTCAAATTTGTGCTGCAAAAATTTTTTTTGAAAAAAATAATAAATTTGAGACTTAAATTTCAAAGAAAATACAATTTTTAATCTCAAAAATGCTACTTATATTTATAAATAGATTTTATTACTCAGAAATATATTCAAAGTTACTATTTTAAAAACATAATTTTTAATTTTTTTAAAAAAATATTACATTTACGAAAAATTTTAAAAATTTAAAAATAATTGTATTTAAAAATTAAAAAATAAGTTTTTTTTTATTCATAAAAATATTCAAAAATTATTATTTTACAAAAATAAATTTTTTTCTAAATTGTTCTAGTCCAGCACAAAAAAGAAGTAATTAAAAAACATTTACGGAAACTTTAAAAATTTATCAAAATAATTTAATTTCAAAATTCAAAAATAGATTTTTTTTACTCAGAAATATTCTAAAATTATTATCTTTCAAAAACAAATTTTGTACTGAATTGTCTAGTCTAGTGTAAAAAATTTCAATTTTTGGTAAATGTTATAATTTATATTTTTTAGTGCTAAAGTAGCACAACTTGGAAAAAAATTTGTTTTTGCGAAGAATAATATTTTTTGAATATTTTTGTGTTAAAAAAATCGTTATCTGAATTTAAATTTGATTTATTTTGTATAATTTATTATTTGAGATTTTGGAAATTGTTATTAATTTCGAGTCTTCATTTTTCTCTTTTTTTTTCAAAAAAAAAAACAAAAAAAAAATGTTTGCAGCACAAATTAGCACAAAAAATTATTTTTTCCAAAAAATAAAATTACATATGGGGAAATATAAATTTTTTCTCCGAAATGTTATTTTTCCAAAGCAAATTTAGACGACACGTATTTTTTTGTTTGGCTGAAAAAAATTTTATGTACAAAGTTAAATGTAACTAATTTTCCAAGTTGAAATAATTGTAATTTTTCTTAAAATTAACAGAAAAAAATCTTTTAAGTGTTCTAACTTTTTGACCAATCGGAATATTTTCTTTTTTCTTTTTAGACCTCAAAGACGTTTTAAAATTCCATTAAATAAAATTAAAAAATAATACCTAAAATGTCGGACATTTTCATTCAAATTACTGAAAAACTCCATCTTCTTTTTTGTTCCGATTTTCTTCATAGTAAAGAATATTTTTCTTATACGAATTTTAACTTATGCCCGATACTAATAGAAGAGAAACAAATTTTTTTAAAAAAATGTTTTTGAAGAATAATTTCATTATTCTTCAAAAAAGAAAAAAAAATACAATAGTAATACAAAAAAAATTTCCGTAATAAAAATTATTTCTCTTTAAAAGATGGAAAAAAAGTGTCTCTTGACATTTTTCTCTATCTCGTTTTGTTTTCGAAATATTTCGCAAAATTTCATTTGAATGGTAACAGTATATTTTTGCTACGAATAAACAAATAATTGTTAAAAAATACTGTTCTCCTTAAAAAATAAATAAATAAATAAATATTAACAACAACAATAAGTTTAAATAATTTTAAAATATAATTATTAGTAATAATTACTTTCTAGGTATTTTAGAAAATAGTTGATAATTTTTTTTTTATAAATAATTATTAGAACTTCAGTTTGAAATTTGCTGAAGATAAAATTATCGTTTTCTCTAAATAAAAAAAAATCTATTAAATTAGAGTCAAATTATTATTGTTGTTAAAGAGTGCTATAAAGAAAATATATATATTATTTAAAATTAATAACAAACCTCGACAACTCTGAAGTCTTCAATGCTGTTGAATTTGGAAAGATGATCTTTTAATTTTGCCTCGACATCGAGTTCCACTGCGTGTTTGTAATATTTCAAGAACGCCCAGAATTTTTCAAGACCGTACAATTGTCCTGAAAAAATAAATTTAATTTTTTAACCACTTTTTTTTATAAAATTAACGAAAATTAAATCAAATTAGAAATCGATTTTTATTAATTTCTTTTTTTATTTCTTTATTAATTTTTTCTATACTAATTTAAATAGTACAAATTGTACGAAAGGAGAGTTTAATTTTACAAAAACCCGTTTATTACTAAATAAATAATTAATTATTATCACTACTAACCATTCTCATAATCGGAAACGGTTTCCGTTTGAAAGTCTTTATAAAGTTGCGGCCTGAATTTTCGCTCAAGACCATAACTATAGAAGCGGAAAAGGCACTCGAGACCATAACGATACCCCTCGCTCGCGTCTTCCTTTGCCAAACTTCGAAATTCCTCGTACATACTGCGATTGAAATTTTCCCTCAGGAAAAATGACCAGAATCGGAAAAGTGTATTCATCTCTTGTGATTGTCCAATTCCAAGTCTCTTGCGCTCTAAAAACAAAAAAAAAAAACAAAAAAACATTGTAAATTTTTCTAAATAAAAAACAAATGAAACAGACAATAATTTACAAATTATCAGATTATTTGATTATCAGCAAAATATTTCCTCAGTCGGGAAAAGAAGACAAAAATAAGAGAATCATCATGTAAAAACAATTTCAAAAAGAAATTTTAAATATAAAAAATTTCAAATAAAATTAATTTATTTCATTTAATTTCTATTCCAATTATTATTATTATTATTAGAAAAATTTTCAACTAATCACCTTTCAAGCAACGAGAATGATATTTGTGATAAACTTGTTGGGTGAATCCATTTTCTTTGAGTAACGCGTGACTAGGATGATGAAATGTTGGAAGCGATTGTGGTGCACTTCCACAGCTGCTGGCCAAAAATCCTTCGTTCGGACTTGTTCCAGCGCTACTTCTAAAAATTAGATAGAAAAAAAACAAAATTAAATTAAAAAAACAGAAAAAGAAAGCAAAAATTACAAACACATGTTTAAGCTCTAAACTTAATTTATTACAATTTTCATTGGGCCGCATGATTATTCAATAAAAATCATTAATTAGAATTTTCATTTTAAAGTATTTTTTTTATTAAAAATAATTAATTTTAAAACAAATTTTCATTTTTTGAATTAGAATTTGACATAATTTCTTTTAAATACCAATTTTTACTTAACAAAAATTTTACCTACCGAATTTTTGCTAGAATTTTTATTTTACACTCATTTTCTTTACATTACTTTTTATAAAAAAGAATTTTAATTTATATAATCGAATTTTAAGCAAAATTCTCATTCAAATCAAATTTTATGTGGTTCAAATTTTTAAATGACAGAAATTCAAATTCACCGAATTTGAATTTGTCCAAATTTTTATTTACACGAATTTTTATTTGTCCGAAATAACAAATGGCCAAACAAACAATCGACAGAAAGATTTTGGCGCCATTTTCAAAAATTGACCAATTAGAAATTATCAAGAAAATCGTGATTTGTCCAATTTTTGAAAATGACGCCGAAATCTTTCTGTCGATTGTTTATTTGGCAATTTATAATTTCGGACAAATGAAAATTCGGCGTCGTCCTAAAAATTCATTGAATTGGAATTTCCGTCATTTAAAAATTCGAATCACATAAAATTCGATTGAATGAGAATTCTAATTGGTTAATTTTAAAATGAGCGCCCAACATTTTTCTAACCAGATATATTTATTCAAATAAATGAAAATACAACAAAAATAAATTATATTAATTTGAAATAATAATAATTATTCTGATTTAATAATTCATTTTAATTATTCTGTAAAATGTAAATTTAAATAAATGCAAATTTGTCTAAAAATGAATTATTTCTGTAAAATAAAAATGAAATCACTATTCTGTCTAACGAAAATTCGAGTAAATAATATCTCTCTAAAAATTAAAATTCAATTGAATAAAAAGTCATGGAAATGAAAATTTGTTTAAATAACAATTTTGTAAATATGGAAATTCGGTTAAATGAAATTTTCATTAAATAATAATAATTTGAAAACATACAAAAATTCAGCTTAATGTATAAATTCTAAGTTAGGAAATTTTTTTGAAATGAAAATTCGGAAAAATTAATTTTTCAGCTTATTCATGCGTCTCAAAAATTAATACAAATTATTTTAATTATCATTGCAATTATTTTGTTTTTTATATAATTTAAAAAAAATTTTTTTAATTTATTGGTCAAGCCATTTAATAATAATAATTTAATAATAAAATTAAATAATTAATTTATTATTATTATTGTTATTAATATTATTAATTTCAAATTGATAAAAATTCAAATAAAAAATTGTTCAATTTTTTCCATTTTTGTTAGAGGGCCTACTTTCAAACTCCATTCATCGAATTTTTTTTTTTTTTTTTTTTAAAATTCTAACGGTGTCAGCGAATCCCTCTATAAATTTTCTTTTGCACAATTTTCAATTTTCCATTCGAAACATTAAAATTCGTGGAAATCATTTTTTTAAAATTGTGCGCGATATTATTTGGTAAAAAAATTTTTTTTTTCCAAAAAATATATAACATACCCAGTGGAATATGTGCGAGGTCTGTGTTCCCTGACGTCCATAATCCATCCGACATGATGTTCAACGGGTGGATTATTGCTGTGACGAGTTTTACGTTTTCTTGGTGTTCGTGGATCAAATGAAGGTTCATCTTTGACGACAGCGAAAAATCGAGGAACTGCGCCTCTTCTTCCGCTAACAATACCTCGATCCAATCGTCTTCCGTCCTTTTCTCCTTTACGCTCACGTTTCTCCTGTTCCTCAACAATTGGCGTCTTAATAAAAACAAAAAAAAAAAATTTTCTTCTAATCCAAAAATTCCAAAACAAATTTTATTAAAATATTCAAGTAAAAATGAAAATTTTTTTCAAACTATTTCTATTAACAATTACTTTTTTTTATTTAATATAAAATATTTATTTATTTAAAAAAAAAACAATCAAATTTTCTGTTTATTTCAAAAAATTTAAGAAACTAGTAAAAATTTAACAGAAAAATTAAGTTTTAGATTTTTGAAAAAATCACAATTTTGGAATGAAAAAAAAAATTTTTTTGTAAAAATATTAAAATTATATTTACCGGTGCAAATGTCACTTGTGGCACTTCGACTTCATCGACAGCGGGAGGTGGCGGAGGTACTTCCGGATTTGCTTTACGTGGTGCTTTTGGTGCAATTTTCTCAAAAACTTCCTGACTGATAATATTGACTGTCTTGTAGCTTCCAATCGACGACAACGATCCGTACTATTTTTTTTTTTTTAGAGAAAAAAACAATTTTTTCTTTATTACAAAAAGAAAATTATTATAGAAAATTAATTTTCAATTATTCTTTTTAAATTCAGATTTTTAAAATGACTCATCAATTTTTCTTTTCAGTCGGGAAAAGAAGACAATTTATAAAGAATCATCATTCAGCATTTTGTTTAATTTATTTTATCAAAAAAAAAGAAAAAAAAAATCAAATAAAAAACATTTTAACCATTGTTTCGTAAAAAAAAAAAATTTAGAAATTTTACCAGAGAAAAAAAAGAAATAAAAAAATTTTAACCATTGTTAAATTTCAAAAATTATAATTTTAGTAGCATTTTTAGATATTTTTCCAGTACTTTTCATAAAATTCCCCGATTTCCTTGATCCGTGGCAACCACCCAAATTTTTTATTTTATTATTTGTAAAAATTAAAAATATTAATCCCATAAATTGTAATAATGTATAACTTTCTAAACTAAAAAATAGTTTATCAATTTGTAAATTTATCTTTTTTTATTTTAACAATAAATGCGGGGAATTAAAATAAATATTTTACCCTTGTGCCATCTTCGGTCCACAGGTCCTCTTCGTAATAAAAAAGTCCATCGTCAATTGCCTGCTCAAGTTCCTGACTCATTTTAACTCTTGTTGTCCAATCCCCAGTGCGATCATGACCCTCGTGTTTTGGAATACGCGATGAAATCGCCACTGATGTTTGTGTGACAATCAACAATTTATTAATGTCACCGTCCGAAAGTTCACAATCATCATCGTCCTCTGACCTGAAAAAAAAAATTATCTACATTAAAAAAAAAAATTCTAATTTCGCGCATAAATTATAATTTTTTTTTCCAGTTCTCAGATTGAAAAATTGCTCATCAATAAAAAATTTTCTCTTCTCAGTCGGGAAAAGAAGACAAAAAATAAAGAATCATCATGTTGGAAAAAAAATTAATAATAATAATTATTATTATTAAAATAAATTAAATTATAAATTAAAATAATAATTTCAAAAATAAAATATTTTACCATTCGGAAAATGCGTTGTGACGACCTGTTGGAGGTGGAGTGTTGAGTTCCTCATCAAATTGAAAATCCAATTCTTCTCGTACTTCTTTTTCCTTCTTTTCTTTATCTTCTGATGATTTGTCCTTTGGTGGTTGTTTCACTCTTCTCTTCACCTAATTATTATTAACATTTAATAATTAAAAAAAAAAATTGTAGAAATATTTTTTTAATAAAAATTAATTATTTTTCTCAATTTTTTGAGAGTGTAAATTTTTTTATTCACTTCAACTTTTCATATAAGTTATACAAACAAAAATAGAGCGAGTGTAACTACAATCGATTGTAATAGCAAAAAATAAATATAAATAAAAATGTATTTTGTTTTAATACTTTACAAAATTGTTGTCCTTCATTTTTTCTTTAAAATAAAAAAAAAACGAACGAAATAAAAAAAAATATTTATAAAATAAATATAAAAAAGAAAAAAAATTTACCTCTTTCCAAACTTCATCGGGTCCTTTATTTCCATTAAGTAATGTTTCTCGTTTCTCCTCGCGTTTCTTGTCTTTTGTTTCCTTTTTCTCTGTCTTCATCATTGATTCCTTATCATTACGAGACGTGACACTTGTTTTACTATTATTAGTAGTCACATCAACTCTATCGTGAATTTCTTTATTCATTTCACGTTGTTGTTGTTGTTCTTCTTCTTCTTCGTCAATTTTTGCATGAATAACGGGTACAAATTCGGGTACATCGGGATTTAAACTATCGCCAATTGACGATGAAACACTTTCCGATTCACTGAGACGACCAACAACATCGGTTGGCGCAAAAACTGTATAAATTTTGGGCACTGGTGGCGCGGGTATTGTTGTTAATGGCTGTGCAACTGGACAAAATTCCGATTGCATTGAAGGAAATAACATTTCATTTGTCATTTCATTTTGTGGATGTGACGACGACATTTCCGCGGAATCACCAAAAATTGGATTACCCGCCGAATCTAAAATTGGCCACTTTAGAGGATCAATGTTTGTTCTCACCTGAAACAATTTTTGTTGTTGTTTTTTCTCATATTTGCAATTTTAACATTCAAATCAGGTATCATTTTTATGATTTTATGATTATGATTTTTATGATTAAATTATGATTAAATTATTATTTAAGCAAAAATTTTTTTAATTTACTTCTAATTATTATAATTTTGTAAAAAGGTCTACTTTCAAACTCCATTAATTTGAGCTTTTTTTTTACAAAAAAAAAAAAAAAAACCCTAATGGTGTCAGCGAATCCTTCTTAAATTATTTTTGCACAATAGAAAATTCATCTAAACATTTTCTAGTCGAGATAAAAGAATAATTGTGCATAATTATCGTTAATTTTTTTTTTAAATAGAAATTTGTAAAAAATAATCGCAATTTTTTCGTTTTTGAAAAAATAGACATTTTTTTTCTAGAAAATTTCTCTCAATTCGTACTTTTACTTTAAATGAAGAAAAGAGAAAAATAGATAAAGAAAAAAGTTATTTCTTTTTTTTTTTTAATATAGAAAATTATGAAATTCTTACTTTAAAACCTTCGACCATTTCCAATTTATCAGACTCAGTGATTGATTCAATCACCAAAGCAACGTCTGTTGTCAATGCCTGAACTCTATGGAACGATGCTATCAAAGTGATTGGCAAAAATCCTTGTGCGTCCATTTTTCTTCTCAAGAAGAAATCTCTCATTAGATTCTCTTCACTGAAGTAATATTCTCTGTAATAATTCAAAATTAATTTTAAAAATTGACAAATTTATTTACTCTGCTCACAAAAAATAAAATACGATACCAAACATAAAATGTATTTTTAATTTTTAAATAAATTTCGCAATAATAATAACAATAATAATAATTCGCAACTCTATTGTATAAATTCCGAGAATTTTTAGACAAAAAATATTTTATATATACACGGAGAGAAAAATCTGCCTTTTATAGTATAGAAAGGTTTACATTTAATGCACAGAAATTTTCTATGCTATATAGACATGAAATTTGAGTAATTATAGTACAATCGTATGTCTTTTTAGCATGAAACTTGTCTATGCTAATAAAGTTTGTCATATAGCCTCTTATTACATACTTATTATACTTTTAATCCAACGGCGCCATGCGAAGATCGCACATAACATCATCCTACTATGTTTGCATAAGTTCTATGCTTTTTCGGGGATAGACTCTTGCAACTGGCGATTAGGCCACGCCCACTTGTACTGAATTGGAAGTAACTGTGTGAATACTCACACAAATGCCTAATCGCCAGTTGCAAGAGTCTATCCCCGAAAAAGCATAGAACTTATGCAAACATAGTAGGATGATGTTATGTGCGATCTTCGCATGGCGCCGTTGGATTAAAAGTATAATAAGTATGTAATAAGAGGCTATATGACAAACTTTATTAGCATAGACAAGTTTCATGCTAAAAATTCTCAAATCTTTGCTCTATTAGTATGAAAAGTTTAAAGAAAAATAGCAGCAATCTATTTCATACTATAAAAGGCAGATTTTTCTCTCCGTGTAATAATAAAAATAAATTTTTTGTTTCTTTTTATTTTGTAAAAATAGTATTAATAAGAAAAAAATATTATGTATAGTAAATATTATTTTATAAGAACGCCTGTATTAAATATAGAAAAAAAATTTTTTTTCAAGAATTGTAGAAATAAAAAAAACTTACATTTGTTTTCTAATATATTCCTTCAATGTTATGTTATCCAGATCCAAATAATTGGCATTATTAAAATAAAATGTTCCAATATAAGGCATCATGTAAGGATCCGTTTGACCATATTTCGGTACCTGAAATTCAAAAAAAAAATCTTGATTTAATTTTGAACAATAATTACACATTTTTTTTTTTAATTATATTTTTTTGATAAAATCAGTTCTACTTTCTAAAACCTTCAGCGATCACTCGGGGTTTTATAAAATATTTCATCATGTCGAGTAGAAAAAAAAGAATCAAGTAATTTCCAAATATTTTTTTTATAAACGAAAGTTCATAAGGACCTTGCCCGTATAAATTAATAAATAAATGAATAATTTTATATTTTAATTTTCTAACATTGTTGCAACAAAAATAAATTTTTCAATTTCCCCAGACAATAAAAAGTGTTCCCCTGATAAAGTACTTTTATAAATTAAAATTTAAAAATAAATTATAATTCGGATAATTTGTAACTTAGGAATAAATTAAAATTTGAACAAATTGAAATTAAGATAATTTTGAAACTTAAATTAATTAAAATTTGGATAAACCAATTAATTTTTTTTTTTATAAAATATTCTAAAAAATAAAATAATAATAATAAAGAGCAAAAAAATAAAAATATTAAAAATTTCACTGAAATTTTCTCTCGAGTTTAAATTTTAATTGATAACAAACACTTTAGATATTTGATAAAATTTAAATCTAATTTTTCCCAATTGATGATAAAAATTAATAAATAATAAAATTTATAAAGATTTAAAATAATTATTTAAAAATTAGAAAAATTTCGAAAAAAACGACAATATAATCAAAATTAGAGTAAAATAAATGGAGTTTTAAAAATTTAATTTAATTTCGAACAAATTTGAAAAAAATTTGTCAATATTGTTATAATATGTATTATAATTACTTGCCTGAGAATAATTATTGATGAGGTATTCTGGAAAATCTTGTTCACTTCTGTTTCTATATCCACCACGAGATGATCCACGACCTCTTCCTCGGCCACGATAACTTCGACCTCCTCTCCCTCTGTAATTGTAGTTTGATCTCTCATCTCTGTCCCTCCAGCTTTCTTCTTCTATGAAAGTAAAAAAAAAAAAAGTTATAAATTAATAAATAATTATTTAAATTTATTTAAATTTATTAACTTATATTTTTAAAAATGTATTAACTAATAGGGATTTTTTAAATTTATTTAAATTTATTAACTAAAATTTTTAAAAATTTATTAACCAATAGGGATTTTTTAAATGTATTTAAATTTATTAACAAATATTTTTTAAAGTTTATTAATTAATATTCAATTATAGTTTAAATACAATTAATTATATTATTGCAATCATTTCTACAAAGTAAAAAAAAAGTTTCTAAAAATTTAACAAAAAAAAAAAAAATGAAATAAAATAAATTATTCAAATTAAAAATCGAATAAAAAAAATTATTCAATTTTTTTTTTTTTTTTTGTTAGAGGGCCTACTTTCAAACTCCATTCATCGAACTTTTTTTTAAAAAAAAAAATTCTAACGGTGTCAGCGAATCCCTCTATAAAATTTAATTTTGCACAATTTTCAAATTTCCATCGAAACATTAAAATTCGCAGAAATCTTTTTTTTTTTTTGAAATTGTGCATTTATAAATTATACAAAACAAAAAAAAAATTATAAATTAAAAAAGTAAACAAAGATAAAAAAAATTTACGATAAAAAATTTTTTAATATAACAATAAAAATATGTATTAAAAAAAAATACCTCCTCATTGTAATGAGAGTAAAAGAAAACAGTTTTCCGATTTTAAACATAATTTAAAGGGTATTGTGCCCGTTAATACTTGAATAAATAAATAAATATTTATTTACGGTTTAAATTGCACAATGTTTTAATTTTTTTAAAGAAATATTTCTTTTTTATCGTTGACTAATCTAACAATAATATAAATATATTACTAATTTTGCAATTCATTTTTTGTTTCTCTTATAACATTTATTTCAATAGATTTAATTATATAGACGAATAGATAAAATTTCAGGAAAAAACAAAACAAATTATTTCTATTAACGAAAATAAAAAATTTTCTAAAAAAAAAAATAAACTCACCACTTTTATCTCTTTGGCTGCGAAATTTCGGAGATCGAACTCTCTTGTTTCTATTTTTCGCCAGATCGATTTCCAAAGGAACCCATTTTTGTTTATTAACTGAAATCGCAGAATCATTCAAAATTAATAATTAATAATAATTAATTAATAAATAAATAATTATTAATAATCTATTTATATAAGTAATTATATTAACTTTAATTTTGTCTAAATAAGCGATGCTTTTTCATTATTTTCATTATCGTCTTTATTTTAACTATAATAATAATAATTTTCATTTTTTATATTTTTAATTTTGGCAATTTTTTATAAATTTCTATGTAATTAATAAAAAAATAATTATATAATAATTAATACATTGAAAAAAAATTTTTTGACTTAAATAATCGATTATACTACTATCAAATAAATATTTATTTGTATCAAATAATTATTATTTGAAATGGTATTTGTTTTAAATACAAAAATTATTGATTCAAATACAACTTATTTAATTCAAATAAAAAATTATTCGAATCAAGTAAATATTTATTTGATAAAATAACAGATTATTTGAATCAAATAAATTTTTTTTTTCATTCAATAATTTTGCTCAAAAAATTTTCCAATTAAAAATTTCATAAAATTTACTTATTGAGAAAAAATAGAGAAAAAAGAATTATGTTAACAAAAATAAGAAAAATAAATTGTCGGAGAAAATTTAAAAAAAAAAAGAAAAAAAGGTAAAAAAAATTATATAAACAAAAATAAGAAAAATAAATTAAGAAAATTTGAAGAAAAAAAAAGAACTTTCCTACCTTTTTTCCTCTTATCATTGACGTCAGTGTGTTCATCACTGTCATCCTGGCAATGATTTTGCTCCTTATTTTCCTTGCCTTTGTTATCAGTGGTGGTACTACTTGCATGATTCTCCTTGGAATTATTTTGCTCGATACCATTTTGTTTTGGCGTTGTTGACACAACTGTTTTCTTCTAAACAAAAACAGTCACATTGTCGATCTCCAATTTTTCAAAAACAAGAAAAAAAAATTCATAAAGATTATAATTTACTGAATATTAAATTTAAAACATCTATTATATGAAAAAAAAACAAAAAAATAAAGAAGAAAACAAAAAGTTATAATCTCAATAATGCAGAGCAAAAACTATAGAATATTGAATTCAAGAGATTATTTTAAAAATTTTTAATTTACACTAGAAATTTTTGTTAAGTAAAATTTTGGCTAATTAAATTTTTTCCTTTTTTTAAATACTCGGTTAAATAAAAATTATATTAAATAAAAATCAAGTTTCATTGGAATTTTGCTAAATAAAAATTAAATAATAAAAACATAGTAATAATAATAATTATTATTATTATTATTATTTAAAGTAATTAAAAATTTCTTTAATTAAAAATTCAATAAAGTAAAAGAAAATTTATAACAATGAAAATGTCAAATTTGTTTAGAAATTCTATTTTATAGAAAATTTGGCTAAATAGAAATTGAAAATTAGAAATTTCCAAAACGTACTTATTAATAATATTTGGTTGAAAATTCTGCTTTAATTTTACAGTTGCAAATAAAATTGTGTAGAAACGCCTCCAAGCATTAGAAAACAAAATAAATAAAATTTGTTTCTCTTGTGATCAAAGCGTTTCTTTTTGGTTTTGATTTAGCAAAAATTCTACACCCTCAGAATTAGGAAATTAATTATTCAGCGGGCTCTAGTTTTTGCACAAGAAAAATAAAACGAAAATAACATTCAAAACAAGCATCACAAAAAATAAATTAAAAAAAAAAAAAAAAATTTGTTAATTAACTTACTTCCCCTTGGGCTCCCAATGAAGGCCAGTCACAAATATCAGAGAAGTCACTCGCCTATTAAATGACAAAAAGTAAAATATCAATTAAAACGATTAATTAAATACATGTAATAATTAATAATTAATAATAATAATTTAATAAATAAAAATAAATTTAAATTCGTTTGTCAAAAGTAAAATTTTTATTTCACGCAAATAAAATTTTTATTTGAACCAACTAAAATTTTTATATTATGCAAAAAAAATAAATTTTTTTAACTGACAAACAAATAATTTTTATTTTTGCCAAATAAATTATTTTCTTATATATACAAAAAAAAATAATTATTTTGCTTTCAATTTTTATTGAATTCCAAAATAAAATTATATTTAGTTCGATAAAAAAAAAATTCTCTAACTGAAATTTTTATATCTGCCAAAAAAAATAATTTTCATTTATTCCAAATAAATTATTTTCTTTAATATATAAAAAAAAACGAATAATATTGATTGGTTTTGTAATGGAACGCCTCGGTTTTGAACTATTTTCCGGTGTCTTATTTCTAAAGTAGCCGTTATCTTCAAGTGGAGGGTGACAATAAATGGTACCTTCTGATTTATTTTTCTCCTGTCCTTCGGTGCTCTGACAATTGTCGGTTGAACCACTGGAGCGACGCCATTTTCTGCAAAAAGAAAAAAAAACAAAAATTTTTAAAATTATATTTATATTATAACTTTGAAAATTAAATTTTTTAATTATAATTAAATTCAATAATATTAAACTTTACGAATTAGATACTTAAAATTATTTATTAAGAAATAAATTTATTATTTTCTATTTATTAATTAGAAAAAAAGAAAAATATTATTATTATACTTAGTAATCAATTAAAACAGTTGAATCATTTAATTAGTAATTAATTAAATTTTTCTGTTATTATAAATTTGTATAAATTTTAAAATTGTTAAATTTAATATAAAATTGAATATAAAATGTACCATTAGTTCAATAATTGATTTTACAAAATGTATTTTTAATAGAATCGAGAGCAATTATGTTCCTCAAATAAATTCAATCATTAAAATAAGAATAAACTGAGTAAGAAAAAAAATTATTTTATTATTGAAATGATTTTTAAAATACAAATAATAATAATAATAATTATTATTATTATTATTACAATTTAATATAAAAAGAATAATAATAATATTAATAAAATTAGTGAATTATTATAATTTGATATACTATATTAAATTCGACAAAACGAAAATATAGGTGAATGTTGTTTTTTAGAAAGACCATCTCGCGTTTCAATCAAGGGGAATCCCTCGACGGGATCATTGGCACGTAGCAACACACTTTGATTATATAATCGATTGAAATTACAAAGTGTGTTATCAAACCCCCTTTTTTAAGAACAACAACAACAACAAAAATAAATCTCCAATGTTTCATTCAAATTAATATATTTTTTTTCTTTTACATAAAAACCATTCCATAAAAGCGATTTTACTTTTTCTTGCGTTTCATATGAAAAAAAAAAATAATTTTCCATATAAAATAAATTCCAATTTTTCATATTTCACTGAAATTTTCGTAACAAATTTATTTTTACTAATATTTTCTTATTTTTCAATTCTCATCAAAATAATATACAATACAAAAAATTTTGGAAAAAATTTACATATTAAATGTGAAATTAATGTTTTTTCTTTAAAAATATTTAAAAAAAAAAAAAATAAAAACACACTTCAATGTGTACCTAATTTTTTTAAGATTAGATAACAAACATAAATTTATTTAACTTTCCGCGTGTTTCCTTTTTTCTCTTTAAAAAAATTTAACAACTATATTTACCTTAAATTTATCATTACAATTAAATAAAAAAAAAAATCAATATCAATTTTTGTGTCTAAAAATAATTTTTTTTTTTACATTTAATAAAAACAAAAATAATTTTTCATTAAAAAAAAATTAATTTTTAATTTCGTTTATTTTCTAATTAAAAAAAAATTTTTAAGTTAACAAATTTAGTCGAAACTTCCGACACTAGAATTAACAATTAACAAGTGGTGATTTTCGCAAATTTAGTTAATAACAAAATAAAATTTTGGGCCCAATTACTGGGATAAGGCCCAATAATAAAACAATATAAATTGGGAAAATTAACTTCGAAATCGTAGTCTGCGATCTATAAACCCCCATTCAAGTAATGATTTTTGCGAATTTACTTAATTGCAACAAAAGAATTTGGGCCCAATTCCTGGGTTAAGGCCCAATAATTTGATAATATGTATCACATTTATGAACGTAGAATTTTAGCGGAATTACAAATTTGATATTGAAAATTAGTAGACACATTTTAAAAATTTTTTTTTTCTATTTTGGACCTTATAATGGGCACCAGGCCCAATTTCAAAAATTGATTTCGAAATCGTATAGTCTGATGTCCAAAGTTCCTCAAGTAGTGATTTTCGCGAATTTAATTAATTGTAGAAAAAGTTTGGGCCCAATATCTGGGATAAGGCCCAATATTTTAGTCAAGTTTATCACATGTTTAAACGCAAAATTTTAACGGGATTACTAATTTGATACTGAAAATTAGTAGTCACATTTTTAAAAAATTCCAGTTTTTTAAAAATTTTAGGCCTTAAATTGGGCCCTAGGCCCAATTTGAAAATTGACTTCGTAATCGTAATCTGCGACCTACAAACCCCCCTTCAAGTAGTAATTTTCGCGAATTGACTTAATTGTAAAAAATTGTTTGGGCCTAATATCTGTGATAAGGCCCAAAAATATTTGTCAACTTTATCACATGTTTGAATGCAGAATTTTAACGCGATTTCGAATTTGATACTGAAAATTAGTAGTCTCATTTAAAAAAATTCCAGTTTTTTTCAAATCTTGGGCCTTAAATTCGGCCCCAGGCCTAATTTGAAAATTGACTTCGTAATCATAATCAGTGATCTATAAACTCTCTTCTCCTCCAAAAGTAGCGATTTTCGCAAATTTACTTAATTGTAAAAAAAGTTTGGGCCCAATTTATAAGGCCCAATAAGGGGTCATCCATAAAGCATGTGATACATTTTTTCAGAATTTTAACACCCCCCCCCCCCCTCCCCCTTGTGATGCTTTTTCCAATACCGATTAATATGGAGTGTGATATTTTGCAGGCGCAAAATAAAATCCCCCCCCTACACCCTAAAGTATCACATGCTTTATGGATGACCCCTAAGGCGCTCTCACACCTTTTTGGCTGCCTGCAGGTTACCATGGCAACGCATGAGAATGAGTGCGACAGAAAATTTAAAAATTTGAATATTCAAATTTTCTGTCTCACTCACACTCGTGCGTTGTCATGGTAACCTGTAGGCAGGCAGGCAGCCAAAAAAGGTGTGAGTGCGCCATAATTTGTTCATTTTCATCAAACGTTTGAGTGCAAAATTTTAGCGGAATTACGAATTTGATACGAAGATTTACTAGTCTCATTTAAATAAAAAGTAAATTAATTAAATTAAATTGTATAAAAAAAATTAATGAAATTAATTGCTTTAATAATAATTTATAATTAATATATTTTTATTAAATTAAATGCTAGATCCAAATTGTTATATATTATGTTTATATTTTGTCGTCACAGATAAGCCTAGTCATGGAATATTTTAAGTCATGTTGTTTGGTCGATTTTATTTGTTCCAACACACCAATAAGAATTATGTGAGTTTATAATATGCATAAAATGTGCCAAGAACCCTGACGAAATCATTAAACATCGCCTGTTCAAACTACGATTATTGACTTGTGTGAAAAAAATAACATAGTTGAAAAAATTAATTTTTAAATATTTCCTTCTTTTTTTACGCTTTAATTTAATAAATATATAACAAATTTTAATTAAAAACAAATTTTTATTCATCAAAAACTTTGTAGTGAAAATCAAAATAATTTAAAAGTAATCAATTAGAGGCAAATTTTTTAACGAGGATAATAAAAATTAGAAAAAATTTAAATTTCGCGCGCAAATTTCTACATTACCATCTGTATATAGATTGGAAACTCAGTAGAAAAAAAATGTTAATGTCTAAAAAAAAAATTCTCAGTCGAATAAAAATGAGAATTTAAATCAATAAAAATCAAAATAAATAAAAATTCAGTAAAATTTTAATTATTTGTGGGAAAATTTGATTAAATAAAAATTCTATTAAATGGAAACCAAATTTTAAATTAAAATATAGAAAACAAATTAAAATTAAATTAAAATTTCAAACTAAATAGAAATTATCTAAATATTTGAAAATTCCATTAAATAAAATTTAAAATTTTTATTAAAATTAACAATAAAAAAAAATTAGTAAAAATTTTTTTTTTGAAATAAAAAAAACTTACGTTTCTCTACACTACGACGGAGTCCATGAACTTTCATGTTTACTGCTATATCCAATTGTTATTAGAATTTTTTCATAACTTTTGATAACCACAGAAACGAGTTTTTCTATATATAAAAAAAGAACTGTTTTTCTTTTTTTCAAATATTTTTTTTTTAATTTTCACAACTAATAAACATATGGTAAAAAATCAATGTTCCTAAATTTTTAATAATATCTAATTAAATAATTTTCTTCTACTAAATAAATTAATAATAATAATAATAATAAATAATTGTTATGGAATAAATTATAGTTAAAGAATTAGAAAAATTTAACCAAATTATATAATATTCATTATTCGCGATTCTTTAATTTATATTTTGCTTTGATTTTTTTTTTAACGAAATTAATTTGGTGCGAGTTTATTAACAATATGGTAGGAAAAAGTGAAATAGGCGACACGAGGTTTTGCGTCGAACTAAGACGCCTGTTGAAAAAAGCATGCCAACGAGGCGATGGAAACAACTGGCAGCTGTTTCTTGGCGCCTTTGACGACCTCGAATATCGTAAAATGCAACTGGTTAAACTGTAATCTACCTATCAATAAGATTCTCTTTCTCTTTCTTTCTTTTTCTCTCCCTTTAGAAAAAAGGGGGATTTTTTTTTAACTCTTTATCATGTTTCACTATTATAAAGGGTGGAAATTTTTTTACTTTTTCTAACAGCATTCTAAAAATCATTAGTTAGAATTTTCATTTTATGGAATTTCATTTATTGGCATAATTATTTTTGAGCCGAATTTTTATTTGTTCGAATTAATATTTTGCAGAATTTTCATAAAATCGATTTTCTATATTACCGAATTTTTATATAACCAAAAATTCACTTCACAGAATTTTTATTTGTCATAATTTTTATTTGCTCGAATTTTCATTTAACATATTAGGCATTTTAAAGAATTTTTATTGGGTAGAATTTCATTGCATAGAATTTTCATTTTATTCTTTCAGATGAATTTTACATTTGTTCGAATTTATTATTTGATTGAATTTCCATAAAACCGATTTTTCTGCAGAATTTTTAATTAACTGAAAAATCAGTTAACAGAATTTCTAATTGATAGAATTTTCATTTGTCCGAAATTGCAAATGACCGAAACAACAATCGATTTTGGCGCGATTTTTAAAATCAACCAATCAAAAATTATCCATAAAATTGTGATTGGTTGATTTTAAAAATCGCGCCAAAATCGATTGTTGCTTCGGCTATTTGCAATTTCGGACAAATGAAAATTCCATCAATTTGAAATTCTGTT